ATGACTGCTGTCATTATAAGAAGACAGAACACACAGTGAGGGACGCGGAAAACTGTATGGGACGAAGGAGGCAGAGCTGTGAGTGGTGGAGCTACAACCTAAAGAGAGCCAAGGACTGCCAGGAGCCACTGAAGCCAGGAAGGGGCAATGGAGGGTTCTCCCCTGGAGCCTCCGAGGGCCCACAGCTCTGCTGCCACCTTGAACCCTGATTTCTGACCTCCCTGACCATGAAAGAATACATGGATGTGGTTTGTGGCATTTGGATACGGGGCAGTCCTGGGAAACTAATCCACTCACTTTGCAACGTTGTTACCCCATTGGATCATGATTAGGAGCCTTAATCTTTGTTTTTCCCCCAAAGAAATTGGGTAAAACTTTATATAAATAAAATGAAATTTCTGCAAAAGAATTAAAAAGAAATGGCTAAAGAGATCTTTCACTCAACTTAGGAAGTTCTGACTTAGGATATGGCATATGCGACCTTTGCAAAAATCACTCCAGAGGGGCCTGGGACGGGATGTGCCAGATGGGTAACGGCTGTTCTACAGAGGAGCCAGAGCGGGGTGCCACAAGAGGCCAGTGTGACTGCTGATGGGCAGCGGGTGACATACAGGCATTTTAAGAGCAAACAGACGGTGGTTTCAATGGCCCCAACATGAAAGTTACTGGCACAGATGCCCCCACCCCCCAATTCAGGCTAATGCATCAGTCAGTTGCTTCTCAGAGGGGCAATTCCCCCGAGTGCTCTGGTGCATGTATCAGCCCTGGTTATCAGTCAGCCCCCATTGGACCCTCACCTGGGATGTTCATCGCTCTGCGCTCTACTCCCCCCACTTTCCAGAGCATGCGCTTTCCCTGGGCAGCTGGACCTTTCTCACTTAGCTCTTTAGCATTTAGCAGGATTCTTCCTGCATCATGTTCACGCCATAAACTTTGTTGAATCTAATGTCTGGGAGGAAGGAAGGAAGACATTCCTCTCTGAACTGGGAAACACTAGATGCATTTGAGATGGAAAGTAACTTAGAATAATCAGCATATAACACCCTGCAGGCTGATGTAAGTCTGACCAAAGCTTTCAGTATGAACGCTAACACTTAACCAAGTGCCTAAAAACTAGCTATTACCCAACTACTTATAACAAATCCATCCATGATTGACTGGAGGATAAATTAGTTAATATGGAAATATTTCTATCATGAATTACTATTTTCCAAGAAAGCTTGCATTCAAAATCTCCCCTGATCTTAACCAAAGCTCTGTAGAGTAGATGGAGCAGATATTAGTTCATTTCATAGAAAAAGCAAAAGAGCCAGAGAGGTCAAAGAACCTTGTAATAGCTTTTGGGCATAGGGTCCTCAAGGTACTACTCATTCTGAAAGGGAGCTTAGAGACTGGTCTCTTGGACACCAGACCAGGACCGATGTTCAAACCTGTGGCGTAATGGGCCTAGCAAGGAGCAGAGCCCCTAGGGATGTGAGCACCCATCCCAGGAAACAGTAGAGGGCATTATGGGGTACATTTGGCACAGGCCTGCCTGGCTACCAACCAGGCAGGAGGCAGGCCCCGAAACCCCTCTGCTTTGGACAGCCTCACCTCCACAGTGAAATGCTTACAGCACCTGGTCTTGAAGGACATTTCCAGTTCTGAATGCAGGGCCAGACCCAACCAGCCTCTTTCTAGTCTATATAAACTTTGCAATTGAACTGCTTTTAAAAAAGATTTGAACTTTTAAATTTTTACCCTCAAGGATAGACAGCTGATGCACCAGACACAAACATGAAATAAATTTTGAGTAAATATAGCAATCAAAGGTCTAAGGTGTTTTTTGTGAGTGAAAAAAAAAATGGCAGTTTTTCTTGTGCATCATACCTTGGATGTGGGAGGGTATGTCAGCAAGGGACTCCAAAGGTGTTCAGAGGGTGCTGAAAAATGGCTTTGTCATTAAATTAGGGAATCCCCAGGGTTGACAAACCTTGAACTTTGCTGAATTTGAATTGTGAACATTTATTTGACCAGATTAATTATAAACAGATCAAGAGGATGCAAGTTAATCATTTCCTTGTGGATGTTTGTCATTTAAACAAAATGGAAACATTTCTTTCTAAATAAATGATCTGTCACCACTTTATACACATCTCTTCTTTGCAATTCATCTGATACCCCACTCCTGGATTCATCCTCCTAATGAGTTTCTTTCTGTCCGTCACTCTCTTCCCCGCTGAGCTTTAAGACCTCTCTCTCCTTGCCAAAGAAAGTCCTGGTCTCTCCAGTCCTGCCTCTTGGGACCCTTTTTCTGCAATGTCCCTTGATAAACACTCCTTGGCAGAGGTCCTGGAGGTAGGTCTATTCACTGTCACTCAAGAAAAGGTGGAGACTCCCCCTTGCACCTTTCCTGCCTTCTACCATTTGTCAAGAACTCCTCCCCCTTCTTCAACTCAGACCTACATCCTAGGGCCAGCCCAGCCAGTAATAACAAAGCCATGACATGTCTGTACCATCCACTTAGCATCTCCTCATCAGCTTGTCTATCATTCTGGCCTCCCCAGCCATAGCGGAAGCTCCCAGAGGGCAGAGACGGGCGCTCCTTGTCCCCAGCAATTCCCTTAGAGGGAGGTAACAGGTAATTCCTGAGAATAAACAGGGGAGCCAGCCCCTGGTCTCCTGTGGAAGTAGCTTCTCTATGTCGCCATGCCTTGGATCTGCTGGGGAGCCATTGTTGTGCACCTCAATGAACTCAACATAACCATCTGCCAGCTATCAATTCCTTATTTCAAACGCTTCGCTTCTTGTCATGATTTTATAAAAGATAGCTCCTATTTTAATGTAGTGTTTGATTTCACTCTCCTCTCCCATAGATCCTGTATTTTAATGTCTTACATCTGCACACAGCAACCGAACTAAACCGAGAAATTCTCCCTGCCGGATCTCCAAGACAAAGCCCCGTGGGACCTTCCTCAGGGCTCCCTGCCTCTGGCAGAATATTTTAGGCAAACGGCGAAGACCCGGAGAGTTTTTCCACTGTGTGGGACACTTTGGTGCCCAAGAAAAAATCAGCTACGGTGTGCCTCGCCTGTAATTTGGGGTCAGGGTGGAGACCACCTCATTTCTTAATTACATGCTCCTCAGAAGGGTTCCCACGTCTCAGCGCGCCGCACACACCAAGGCAAGCGGAGGAGACACTGCAGGTCTGGGCCGGGGCCCCACTGCACAGACGGAATCTGAAATTCAAAGAAGATGCCAGTTCTCCATCTTGGGTCCAGATGAGGACTCAGAGTATAACTTAAGACTTTCAAAAGATGATTCATGAGTTGGAGGAGTTATGGTGTGGAATATTTGAAGGGCGTGGAGAAGTAGTAAATTCCCATCTTCTCATTGTTTCCAAACAAGTCTTCCCATGGTTGGAACCTGGCAGTATTAAAGCAGGTAAAATATCCTATTTTTAGAAGTATGGGAGAAAACCTTCTGAAAAGAATCGTCTTCATGATTTTTTATAAAAGAGAATTATTTATTTCACCGTAGGAAAAATACACACTAATTGTTTAGTATAAATCTTGGGTGGATCCAGTTTTGTTCTGGCTTTTATAGTGCCGTTTCCCGTTCCATTAAACTGGGATAATAATATTTGTCTTGCCTCCTTTTCAAGGTTCCCAGCAGGATCAAATTGGATAAAAGATAAGAAAGCACTTAAGAAAGTATAAATATAAGGGAGCATTGTTTTTATTCAGTGAAGGTTTTGGATAGTTTTAATGACTGCACATTTCTTTAAAGGAATGTCTTGAGCACTTATCTCTAAATTTCACATGTACATCTGCTGTGTCTGTTTTCCTCCTGTGCAACCCATACCTTCAAAATTATTATTTTTGAAACAAAAATCTTGATATTCTTTAAAAATAAAGATAAGTAAGAACTTCCACTTCTGGGAAGAGGCATACACTTCTTCCTTCCACTCCCTCAAGTACAGCTAAAAACCTGGGACATTAGATGTAAAACAAGCCCAAGAAGACTATAAAAGATGGAAAGGAGAAGGCATGTGGGCTGGGGACAGCAGGACCCAAGGAACAGCACAGTGATGAGTTGAGTTTTCTTGTTGCTGCACATACCCCAGACTGAGTGCCGAAGCAGCCAGCAACCTAAAAATGCCAACGAATGCAGGCAAAAAAGCTCCAACAAAGCCTGGCCTCTTGAGCCAAGGACAGGGACAGCCTAGCAAAAAGGAACATATTTAGAAAACCACCACCATGTGCAGCTAAACATCGCAGAAAACACTGCAGCCTCACCCACACCCACAACAGCAGACAGTGGGAACCTAGTCCAGCCTCCCCGGTGGGTAAGGAGGCCTCCCAAACGCCACCCTCACCCCAACTAGGGTCATGGTAGAGGTGGCCAAAGAACCGGAACTTCCATCTCCCCCCCGTGGGGGTAAGGAGCTCCCACCCACAAACCGCTACGCCTCCACAGTGAAAACCAGGTTTAAAAGGAAGTAATAAGGGAGAAGAATCCATCTAAGTGATTTCAAGATTTACTATATAGCTGCAGCAATCGAGACTGTTTGGCCCTGGCAGGAAAATAGACCCCTGGGCCAACAGAACAGAATAGCGACCCTAGAAATAGCACCCCACAAATATACCTAACTGATTTTTTTTACAAAGGTTCAGAGGCAATTCGGAGGATGAAAGGTTTTCATCCATTGCGCTAAAATTGTGCTCACGCAATTGGATGTCCAGAAGGGGGAAATATTAACCTTGGCCTAAGTCTCACAGTCTATCCAAAAGTTAACTCAAAATAGATCACTAACTTTATGTAAGTGAATAGATCACTAACTTAAAAGTAAAAGGTAAAACTAAAACTTTTTAGAAAAAAATAGAAAAAGTCTTCAGAATCTAGGACTAGGCAGAGTAAGGTTTGATACCGAAGTCACATATCACTAAAGGAAAATTTTACTTCATAAAAATTTTAAAAATTTTGTTCCCTAAAAGACTCTATTAAGAAGATGAAGAAACATGGCCTCTCAGCCTCTTGGCTAAGGTCAAGTGTGGTATCTCTTCTTACCAGTTTAATATCTGATACGTCCTCTATCGGAGAACAATATATTAGGTGGATTTTTAGAATTAGGAGGTGGAAGAGGGGCTTGCTCTGCCCACCCCATGCACTGATCTGGTATTGCGGTACTTCCGGGAACAGTGTACAAAGGAAAAAGAAAAAAGATGAAGAAACAAGCTGCAGAATGGAAGAAAATATTTACAAGCCACATATCCAATAAAGGACATATCCAATAAAAGGACTTTTATAAAAAATCTAGAATATATAAAGTATGTACTCTCAGAACTCAACAGTGGGAAAGCAAACAATCCAATCAGAAAACTGGCACCAAAAAAAATCATAAACAGACACTTCACTATAGAAAATATGCAAATGGCAAGTAAGTACATTAAAAGATGGTCAACATCATTAACCATTAGGGAAATGCAAACCGAAATCATGAGAAAACAGTACACAGAAATTAGAATGGTTAAGATTGACGCAGTGACAACAGCCAGCGCTGAAGATGACGTGGGGAAACTGGGTCACACCTGCATTGCGGATGAGAATGTGACCTGGTGTGAGAATGTGACCTGGCATCACCGCTCCCAAAAAGTGGTAGTGTCTTAAAAAGCTAAACGTGCACGATCACACAGTCCAGCAATTGTACTCCTGGGCATTGGTACCAGAGAAGTGAAACTCATGTTCACATGAAAATCTTTAAAAGTGAATTTCTATAGCAGATTTGCTTGTATGAACCCAAAATTAGAAACAACCCAGATGTTCCTCAATGGGCCACTGATTAAACTATAGTCCATCCCTATTATAGAGTATTACTCAGAAATAAAAGGAATGAAGTTTTAATATACATAACTATCTAAATGAATCTCCAGAGAATTATGCTAAGCGGTATAAGTCAGTGCCAAAAGGTTGCATTACATACATCTTTCCATTGATGTTGCATTCTTGAATGAAAAAATTATAGAAGGAAGAACAGATTAATGGTTGCCATGGGTTAAGGGGGAATCGAGGAGGGAGGAAGGTGGAGGTTTCTCCAAAAAAGCAACAAGGGGGAGGGATTCTTTGGGTGATAGAAGTGTCGTATATCTGCGCTCTATCGGTGTCGCTCTCCTGTTTGTCATTTTGTAAAGATTAAATCAGGCAATGCATATCATTCATTGCTCAAGGCATAGTTATTATTTTAATATATATTATATAAAACATGCATAAATACCATATTATATGTCATAGCTGCTCCATAAATATTCATAAAAAGTAAATCCTTTCATTGTTTCACATCCATTCCTATATCACGTCTAACTTTTCTGCTTTAGATACTAACTGAAACACTATCTGCCTTCTTCCGGTCTAAAAATATAGTTCTAATGAAAAAAGATGGATGAAGTTTTTTTTTGGTTTTTAATTAGGAAAAATGTTAACTTCTATCATGGATTTCCCTTGTCAGACTGTGGTGGTGTAACCAGCGCCTTTCGGACCACAACAGCCAGCCAACATTTGCCTCTCGAATACATGGAAAGGTCCCGTGGTGGAAAGGTATCGAGAGGGCAACGTCCTGAGGCCAGCAGGGCCAGTGCGCACTTCCTCCCCGCAGTGGCGGCTGGCGTGGAGAAGAGGACACAGAGTGAGCTTTATGCACTATTTCATATTCTGGGAGAGGAGGAGGGCGTTTGGAGAAGGTGGGGAAACTAAGGGCGTGGAGCCTCCCAGAAAGCAAAGGAAGAGTGAGCAGGATTATAGCTGCCTCAACATCCACTTTCAAAAAAGAGAAGCTGTCTGACAGCGTTGGGACTTGCTGAGTAATCCTATAAAGTGAGGATGCGGGGGGGGGGGGGGTGGGGAGTGTCCATTTGGTTGCAAAGACAGCACTCATCGGTGACTCAACAAAGCAGACCTGTGGGACCAGAAGCCAGAGGGAGTCCGCTGAGGAATGCGTCAGGATGGAGGGGACGGGGACAGGGAACTGAAGAACTCTTCAAGAAGCTTGGTGGTTGAGAAGATGAGAGAGAACCAGCTGGTGGCTGGTGGGGGGTTAGAAATCGAGGGAAGATTTATTCTCTTCTGTGAGATTTGAGCAGGTTTAGAAGCCAACAGGAAGGGCCCGTGTGAGAAAATCTTGACTATATGAGAGAAATGGGTAATTAATTAATAGTTTAGGTTTCTTAAGAGGACAGGAGGGGGTGGAATTGAAACCACACCTGTGGGGTTTGATCTTAAACAGGAGAGATGGCTTTAATTATTGCAAAGCAGGAGTGGGTACATTTGTGTGTGGAAGGTGAGAAAAGGGAACTCTCCACTGAAAGTGTCCATTTTTCTGTGAAGTAGGCGGAAGTACTCCGCTGAGGGTTTAGAGGGGTATTTGCCACCCCACCCAAGCGACCTTCCCCTGTAGCAATTGCCCATGAGCTGATGGGCGGTCAGAACACAGAAGTCAACCCACCTACCTGGATGGAGGTCATGTCATGTAAAGAACTGTTAATAGGGTAAAAGAAAATGATTAACCGAGTAACTGAAAGGCTTGAAAAAAACAACTTTAAGGCACCAACCACAGAGGTAGCTACGCAAGAGGCACGCAAATCACCACCCCTAGGGCTGGGGCAACAGGAGAAGAGGTTGGATTATTCCAATGCAGAGCCTCACGCAGGGATACCTGCGGTGGGACCCAGGCCCAGGAGGCGGAAGCCCTGGGCACGGGAGGCTGGCTGAGCAAGTGCTGGGAAACTCGTCCCCCGGGCTCAGCTGCTGCCTCGCAAAGGCGTCGCAGCTGCCCCAGGGAGCAGCAGGTCTGGGGACGCCCCCAGAACCCAGAAGCCAGGAGTCGGTCTCCCCTTCCTCCTCCATCTGCCTCCAGCTCCCCCTGTTGGCAGAGCATCCCCAGGACTGGCAGGCAGAGCCGCAGTGGGGTCTGCGGAGGCCCGGCCCCAGCGGAGTTCAGAAGAGAAGGGGCGGAGCTGGGAAAGGACCGTTAGCTCGAACTCTGAAGTTTCTAAACGGGCCTTCGTTTATATGCGTTTTCTGTGTGTTCAGTGAGATAATGCTGGATAGAAGATGAGCAAACGCTCACAGAACCGACAGCAGGACTACAGTTCTGCACTCAAACCTTCCGGACCGGCATCTGGACCCGGCCAGGCGCACTTAGAAGGAACCTCGGGTGCCGGGCACACAGTGGGGATGCTGAGCTTGTGCCCTCCTCCAGCTGATGTGGGCCATGCTTTCGCCTCTATGGACATGAGGATGGGGTGGGGTTTTTCCCCCTTTTTTATGCTTCCTTTTTCATTATTTAAGAGCTACTCTTCATTTGATGACATTTGATATATTTGGAAAAGTAAAAAGAAACACACTTTTTAAATCAGCCAGCATTCTACTACCAAAAGACAAAGAGTAGTAGCACCTATTTATATAGCCTTCCTGACCCTTTCTGCATATTTTCTGTTTTATTTTATACCATTATAATCATTTCAATATAAAATTTGTATCCTGATTGTCTTTTCCACTCCATCTTATGGGACAAACATTGTCCTTGTTACTACAAAGCCTCTGAAAACACAAATTTTAATGGCCGTGCACTGTTCATTTAAGGGTGTTGTTCCATAATTCCCCTAACCAGTTCTTAATGGTTAAACATTTCAGTGATTTCCAGTTTCTCACTCTTTGGCATGATGCTTCAATAAACACATCCATGAGTAACAGCTTTTCTGTACCCAGAACTATTTCTGTAGAAAAAGTAACTCAGAAGAAATTACTGAGTTGAAGGGTATTAAGAAATAGTACCATAATGCCCTGGCTGGTGTGGCTCAGTGGACTGAGCGCCGGCCTGTGAAGCAAAGGGTCATGGGTTCAATTCCCAGTCAGGCATATGCCTGGGTTGTGGACCAGGTCCCCAGTTGGGGGGCACACCAGAGGCAACCACACATTGAGATTTCTCTCATTCTCTTTCTCCCTCGTTTCCGCTCTCTCTAGAAATAAATATATAAAATCATATGATGGTTTTTGGCTGGGAAACACCAGCAAGAAGAGGTTCTGACCTGACCGGGTGGCACGCTGGGGCCCCCAAACCAGGAAGGGGAAGGGATTTTGCTCATGCTCCTCAGAACAATGGGCAAGGTTTCACCTGTCCCCCGCAGCAAGGCCTGGGCCGAGCTGAATGACTGGTGGCTGAGTTATGCTCACCGAGTCGCAGAGCCGTGATGGGAGTGGGGCGGGCAGGGGCCCGGGGCGAGGGGTCTTCCCGTGTTCCAGCAGGACTCGCCCCAGTGTCTTCGGCATGCGGAGGGTTTCCGGGGAGCGCAGCACTGCAGGGGCCTCTTTGGAAACCCCTGGAACGAGCGCCTTTGTCCGGGAATCCATGTTGTCACTACGGGTCCTGGCAGAGATGTTGGCTGCTTCCTGGGGAGGGAGCCGGGGGCCGGGGCTGACTCTCCTGGCTGCTGCGACAGCTCCCTGGAGAACCTCCCAGGCCTTGCAGGGACCTCTGCTCGCGGCCCTCGGGAGGCGCATTACCTGGGTGAGGCAGGAGCCAGGGGTGTGTGGTTTACTCATCAGCGTGGGCCATTTACCTCTTCAAGCTGCTGAAGCCTGGGGAAAACCAAGGCCGATGCTTTTCTTTTATTAAATTATTATTTTAAAAAGTATTGCACAAGTACATAAAATGTGGAAACTGGTTCCTCAAACTCCTCTTAAATGGTCTCCTTGAGACTAGAAGACGAGGAGCGAAGTGGAGAGTTAAAACCAATTAGGCGTCCCTCGCGACTTTTTTTCAGGATGGGGCATCCTCGTGTCAAGCCCCTGGGGTGAGAAAACGCTGCGGAAACGCAGACCCGGAGGCCGGAACAATTTCAGACTCACATCGAAGTGACTGCCAACAGGTAGGAGGTGGACCGTGCACCAAAGTCCTCGGGGCTGAACTGCATCAACCGGCTCCAGAGGCCAATGAATAGAACTTTCTAGCAAGACAACACAGGGAGGGTACTGACGTTTGCTACCTCCCTTTCTCCTGCAGCCACGGAATTCTCCAAGAGACCTCTGGAACCCCCTCCATCGCGCACCGGGCAACGAGGACATCTGCGGGGCCGGCAAGGTCCGCGCCCGCGCGGCCTGCCGAGCGGGCCTCCCCGCCGCGCTCTGGCCGAGCAAAATGACTTGAAAACGATCCAG